ATAAAAAAATACTTTACCTAAAGAATTAATTAATATAAAAGTAATAAGCTTATTATAAACTACCTTAGATAAATTATTTATAAAATAATAATTTTATATTTAAGCTTATAATTTTAAAAGTAAGCTATTAAAAATAACTAAATATATAAAATTTAATTTTTTATATTTTTTAAAATAACTTAAATAAATAATTATTAATAAAGTATTAAAATTAAATATAAACTAAATCTTTATTATATTTTACTTACTTTATAATTATATTTACTTAAAGCTACTTTTTATCTTTTTTACTAATATAAATTAACTAACCTTAGCTTATTACCTTAGGAATTTACCTTATACTACTTAAGTATTAGGTTAGGACGTTAAATAAAGTAAAAGGATAGATTGTAAAAGTAGAAACTGAATAGTAAGGACTTATGGGCTTTAATAAGATAAAAGCTAAGCTTTAGAATATATATATACTATAGGTTTATAGTTGCCCTTTTGGACTTTCTACTGGGCGTAATAAATAAATAAATAAATAAATATATAAATTTTATCTTTATTTATTTAATTTGTTTAGTAATTTGTTTAATATAATTTGATTTGAGAGCAGCGCTGCAGTCAAGTAGGCGGCGACTCTGCTTAATACAACAGCTCGGTTCTTAATTTCATACTGCCTAGTAATCATTCGAGATTGTTTCTCCAGACACTCTCGCCTATCGGTCGTGTCTCAGGCTGGGGCCCGTTCAACAATTCAGCCTTAAGCTCTACCATTTGCTAAGCTCTATCCTCAATCGGCGGATAATGGGTATGCAATTCTTACTCGCAGCCATGCATAGAAACTTATTGCCCCATCGGTCCCTGATCATGTTTTCTAGCATATTGTCAATCAGGTCAAATACCACGTCACAGCTTTCGCGATATTTGTCAGAAGGACTATTAGACCATTGACCTGTGCCCTACAAACCGTTCAGTAACCGCCTAGTCCTTGTGTAGTTAAGATGACTTGGCGTCTGCGGCAAGAAGGCCCGGATATTCCGACATCAGCAAGATATAATCTTTTATCATGTGTCTTATTAAATTTAAATATAAGCTTTTTATTTTTCTTTATTTTCTTCACATTATTATAAGCCTAACCCAATATCCAGCACTCTTCTTCCGACGAACTATGGTCTACTTGCTCGTGTGTCGAAATTATAGGCACTATAACTATAAGTCCACTAGATGTGTTGAGTGGCCCTGTTTCTTGTGCCGGCTAGACCATTTGCTTGCTGCGACATCAAGCCCTATCAACGGAGACTTTATCCGACAGGACCATCAGTATCATGACCCAACACTTATGGGCGTCACATTAGGCCTATAGGGAGGCCGGAATGGATTAACTTGGATCCGACTATCCAATCAGGAAAGGATCTAACGATGATCCCTAGATCCAGGACAGGACCGAGAAATATCTACTAAATCTAATATTAGATCCAATGCATTTCAGTAGATCCAGGATCCCCAACTAGAGAGTTCACTTCATGTCACCTGTTAGATAGCTTAGATAGCCAGTTAACACAGTTTTATTGTATAAGTAATTTATAATATATTACTAATTAATACACAAAGCCTTAGGAAGAGCTACCCTAGATACAGTTCGTCACACATTGCTATCTCGAGGCTGGCAATTTGGCTTTTAAGGCAATCATTTTCCTGCGAGAGAAATCTATTCTTCCTCTCTAGGTGCCAAATATACTCTGTCGCCTTAGTGAGGATAGTGGCGTTATTCGTTTTTTTAGCTGCCACCAAGCCGTCTAGGTCCTCAGTCTCCTCGTTAATAGTCTCTCCGGCAAGCTGCTTCTGGTGCTGAACCATAACTCGCAAAGAGGGAACAGAGTTGCGGAGGGAGATAAGGTTGTTATTAATGTTGCTGCGATAGCGCTTCTCGATCATATTATGCGTATTATTGTTTGACCGTAGTATTGGGGGTGGGGGCGGCGACGTTGATGGCGAGATGTGTGCCGATGATGCTTGGGTGGCTGACGTAGACGATTTGCATTTCTGGGGGAGACACCGGGAGGGTGATTCTTTGTGTGGGGTCTGGGCCTTATATCCCTGACACAGTTGTAGTTCAGAGATGCTAGAATCGCTATTGTTTGTCTCAACATCCAGCGATGTCAGTGACTCCCCATATGGTATAGAAGCCCGCTGCATTTGGAAGAGAGCCTGAGCATTAATATCGCTTATGCTAGTCTGTTGACAGGGGACAGCAGGGCCAGAGATATGTCTAGTTAAACTAGTGGGATAGGCAATAAATGTAGGGGTTATATTTGCCATTAGGTCGATGTTGCTAAATACATTTTCGCCGGGAATAGGATTGGCACAAGGTAAGAGGAGGGCCTCGTGGGTCATCCTGAGATAGTCCACCGCAGGGCCGGTATTTAAATTGAAGAGAGCAGTAGGTCCGGGGAATAGTAGAAGTAATTAGCGAGGTTGCGTTAGCTATCATTGACCTTGAGGGATTATATACCACGCTTTCGATAGTTAAGGTATAGAGAACTCTTATAATAAAAGATTTGACCCCCGACAATATGTTGCGCTTAGGGTGTCCCCTAATATACGTTAAAAGTGCTATTTAAACCCCCCAGCTATTGCCAATTTACAAGCTTCCCTCCTACATCTACAGGTACCCCACCTTTTGGGTGCCTAACCACCAAAAACTCCCACCCGTTTAACTAGCTATTAGATAAAACGACTACGATTTTTTCATTTACGGTCCTATCTGGGGACCCTGGAGAGATGGAAACATCTGTAAACCCTCTAGATAACCAGAACAGAACGAAACCCGTCGCCCCCGGACCAGCAACAGCCTTCCAACCACCGAAGGAGGTGACCCCCTCAGGCCCAAAAACGGGAGAGGTTACGGTCCTCCCCTTCACCCCTAAGAAGAAAAGACGCTTCGGAGAAGCCCTCGGCGCAGATAAAATACCCTCGCCTAGTTTTAATAAAGCAAGACCAAGCGCAGCAGCGACGGCGACTGCAGTATAGACAGCTTTAAAAGGCCTTATTACCTCCATCTTTAACAGTATAAAAGAAGCCACCGACCTAAATAAAAAGGGGAAATCCTTTACCAGAAATAAAATTATAAACTAAATTAACAAAATTAATATATAACAGCAGGCTAGATAAGACGTAGTATTAAATATAGCTATAGCTATTGACTCCTGCCTGGTATAATATACCTCTTAGCTCTCCTTAGCAGTAGTAGAATAAGTCTGCTTATATTTAAATACTGCTTTCAAAAACTTTATTACCTCCTATATTAACCTTAAGGGGAGGCCTAAAGACCTTAAGAAATTAAGTAGTAAAGAAAAAGCTGCCTAATTAACTAAGATAATATTAGCTAATATATTTTATAATAAGAAGGATAAATTAAATACTGCTAGGACCCCTACTATAATAGAAGCTTCTACATCTACTGGAAAAGCAGGCTAGAAGGACCTTAGGGTTACGTAGGTATAAATTATATTATAAAAAAATACTTATAATAAAAACCCTTAGAAGGGAATTAATAACCTAAAGTATTCCTCTATAGGCAGTAGAGGGCTAGCTCCTACTACTAACAGAAAGAACATAAATAAAACCAATAAACCTAAGGAAAGCCCTAATAACTATATCTTTATCTAAGTCCCCTTAGACTACGTATAGAGAAAGCTATTAGCTATTGGGGCTAGATAAGAACTAATTAGGATTTTAAAGCTTATAAATAAGGATATTACTTACTTCTAAGAGATTTAATTAAGCTTTACCCTTAGAGGTAAAAATTAAGATATTAAAAATAAAATTATTATACTCCAGCTAGTAGTAGAAAATAACAGTCTAAAAATTAAAGAAGTATATTTATGGAAGGTTTTTCTTATATACAGCGTATTAAAGACGTACACTAATATAAGCAAGACCTACCCCATAGACGCACTAATCCCAGAGGAGGCATACACCAGGGCAAGGGCTAAAAGCTTATCTATCTCCTACCGCAAAGCTAACTTTAAAGAATCCCTTAATATATATAGCTACTTTATCTCTTTTAATAAGGACGTTAAACCCAGCTTTAAACTCTTTAGCAGCTCCCTCCTAGTGGAAATCTAGATCTAGCCCCCTTAGGTCACCTAGTGCCTGCAGTACTTTAGATTCTATAACCTACAGAATTATACTAGGACTAAAAGGTACTATAAATATAATAAACCGTCTTTTAGATATAATAATACTATAGCTAATTACTTATCCCTGCCTTAGTATACTAACTACAATAGCCCTTATATAGTAGACTTCTTAAAGTACTCCGCTAGACCGGTTATTAAGAATAAGGAAAAAGTATAAATAACTAAAGCCTAACTTTAGGTAATCCGGGAATTAAGCCAGTAGGAATATAATAAAGCTAACCTACCTAAACCTAAACCCGCCCCCGCCCTAGCCCCTAATGTTAAGAAAACGTTAAACCCGGAGACCTAAACGGGCCCCTGCATAAGGCTGCTAATCTCTAGCTTAGCTCCACCCTTCCCCCCTTAGGCTCTAGCTAAAATAGTTATTATTAAAGTCGACTTAGATAAGGAAGACCTCTACGAAGGAACCTCCCCCGCTAGGTCGGCAGTTTACGTAGCCGGCCTAAACGACGAAGAGGAAGAAGCCGAAGGTAACAAAAATATACTTAATGCCCCCCCTAGAACTAACGGACCTCTTAACGTAAGCCTATAAACAATAGGCCCCGTTACAGCTGCTGAAGAAATACTAGCCTTAAAATCTTCTAAGCTAACGTCAGAAGAAGCGGTCTACACTAGGACATTGCCTTATCGCTGGTATAGGAAGGTAGCTATAATATTGTGCTGATTTAGGAACCCTATGCCTAATAGGATAAGGTATTAAATAGAAGGTAAACTAAGAATCACCCTAGATATTAAGCATATAACCCCCTAAATAGTTAAAGGGACGCCAGACCCTTAGTTCTTATATTTATTAAAATCTCTCTAAACCTCCCTAGTAAATAACTCTTTCCCCTAGGCCTAGAGGACGGATACGTATACTAGATAGAGGTATACAGTTATACTATCATTAACGTCTACTAAAGGGCTTTAGCAGACTTAGCTACAGAAACCCTTACTAAATAAGGCCCTCCCCCCCCCTGCTTAATTATCGCAGGCGACTTTAATGCCTTACACTAACTTTAGGAACTAGATAAGGGCATAGACCTAGTAGGTAATAAAATTACAGAATAGGCAGAGAAGTATAATTTTCTCCTAGCTCTAATAAACACACCTACCTAACACTTAGGAAAATACATTAACCTAGTCTTTATAAACTACCCTACGTTAACTAGGGTCGTATACTTCCTTAACATAGGGTTAGACTATTATATAGTAATTATAAACCTGCCTAAGCCCCTTAGGATAACCCCAGGGGCAGGGAAAAAATATATCCCGCTAGAATACTAGGAAGACTTCGGCTAACTTATGCGCTCCTTTGCTTAGACCCTCCCCACAGTCGACCTAACTACACCGTTAAAAACCAACCTTAACAAATACACCAAAGCCCTACAGGACCTCTTTAAATAAGCCATAAAGGGGGCCAGCAAGACCAGACACTAGAACAGCCACAGTACACTATAGTAGTCGGAGAAGTATAAAGCAGCCCACAAAGCCTATAAAGAAGCGGCAGACGGCTCCCCCGCCTAAGAGAGAGCCTATAAGACCCTCAGAGACTCTATATACTACAGCAAGCAAGCCCACTAGGACAAGATTATAGCAAAAGCCAGCGCTACTAAAAATATTTAGTTAGTAGCTAAGTAGTATAAGGTAATAGACTACTTTTAACCACCCCCCTTAATAAACGGGAATAAAAGCATCTTAGACCCTACGGAGAGAGTAACCTTCCTTAGAGATAAGCTTCTTAAGCGTAAGATAACAGAGGAAGATATCTTAGACCTATAGGAAAAGGACTTTCCTATTAATAATAATATCTACTAAGACTAAATAATATCGGAGTCAGAGGCTAAGAAAGCTATAATAGGGTTAGGAAACACCGCGCCCAGCGCGGACGGTATATTAATTGCCTTTTTACAGCTTGCCTAGCCTACTATCGGTAAGTATATAACTAACCTTTTCTACAGATGTCTAATAATAAGATACTACCTACTCCCCTTCTAAAGCACAGAGATTACTATTATCCCTAAACCTAGGAAGCTAGAGAAGGTGTATACTATATATAAAGGCTATAAACCTATCTTCCTACTCTCTTATATAGGCAAAGGCCTTAAGAAACTCTTAGCTAAAAGAGTTTCCCTCCTGGTAATAGAATATAAAATACTACTAGAATAATATTTTAGGGCTTTTTTAAAAAGGTCTACAATAGACCTAATTGCCTACCTATTATATAATACTAAAGTTACCCTAGCCTAGGGTCTCGTCGTCTCCCTCCTTATACTTAATATCTCCGGTGCGTTTAATATTATTATATATAACCGCCTGGTTTACAGACTTAGGGAATAAGGGTAGCCCCCCCTTTTTATAAGATAGGTCGGCTTCTTTATAAGTAACTGTAAGGCTTTTGTTTAAAACGGCTATAGGACCACCCTCCCGAAGACGGAGCTAGAATACAAAGCCCTACAGGGGTCCCCTATCTCCTTTATTATCTTTATACTTTATTTCTCCCCTAGCCTAAAGCTTAATAACCCTAACACCTGCTTTAGGTATATAAACGACATTAGTATTATAGTAGTAGGGACTAATACTAAAGAAACTGCCTAGAAGCTCCAGTAGGAATTAAAAAATATCTTAAACTAGGGTAATAGAAATACGGTCTTCTTTAACCTAGATAAGGCTAAACTTATATACTTCTACAGGACTAGAACTTAAATATATAATGAGGAAGTAGACTTTAGAGGAAAGACTATAGCCCCCTAGGACTTAGTCCAGTAGCTAAGGATATACCTGGATTTGCGGCTTTCCTTTAAAAAACACCATAGGATTATAAAAAGGAAAGCCCTTAAAGCAGCTAACTTCCTAAGATCCCTAAATAAAATATAAAAAGGATCCCCGCCAGACGCAGTAGCTATAGCAGCTAAGGCCTACGTTACCCCTATAGCCTTATATAAGACGGAGGCGTTTTAGCCTAGCGAGAGTAAACAGAGCGTAATAAACCTGAATAAATAAGTAGGAATAGGCTCGGTGGAACTAACTGTAATCCTAAAACCTTTATTTAAAGCAGCAGCCAGAGCAGTTGTCCTTATGTAAAAGATAACTAACCTCTCCGTTATATATAGAGAATCGGGAGTCCCCCTAGCGTTAGTATAAGTAGTATAGACTAGACTCCGTACAGCAGCTCGCTTCGCAGGCCTAGATAGGAACTACTTAGTTAGCAGATGTATTAATAAGAAACTCCCGCCTAGGGTTCCCCCTACCTAACTGTAATATACTATAGCCTTAGTAGGGAAAATAGTTTAACCCTCCTTTTTCACTAAGAACAACGGAGCGGTCTAAGCAGGCCTAGACTTCAGAGGCCTACTAAAGTCAGAGGCAGCGGAAAAACACCTAAAACTACTTAACAGCCTCCCTAGGTCTACCCTCTTTACTTACTTAGACGGCTTATAGGATAAATAAGGCAATATAGGCTGGGGAGCCGTTATATACTATAACTTTAAAAGAACTATAATATATAGTCCCCTTGCTAACGCAGAGGTCTATAATACTAAGGCAGTAGGTGCCTTTAAAGCTATAAAGTTAGCTAGGATACGCACCTTTATAAACCTAGACATTTGAGAAATTCTACTCTTCCTAAATAACTTAACAGTAGTAAATAGAATACTAGGGCCAACTCCCGCCTCGTCCTAAGGAGCCTATATAGGGCTACGCTAAATCGCTTAGAAACTACTCCTACGGGTAACTATAAAAGTAGCCTAGGTCCTAGGCTATAAAGATATACTAGGAAATAAAAAAGCCAACCGACTGGTAAAAGAGGGTTTAGAACTCCCTTACCTCTTAAGAAACTACTCCACTATTACCTTTATTAAAAGGTAAGTAAAAAAGAAACGTAGGGAAATACAGGACGCTAACTAAGAGAGCAACTACCCAGAGTCCTATAAGGCCGGTAGATGGGGCCTTTATAAAGCCCCCTCTATACCCCCTAAACTACATCTCCTACGCCTAATCCTACATAGGCTACTAGCCAAAAGGTTTAAATACAGGGACTTTATAAAATACTATAAGAGATTTAGATATAACGCTAGGCCTACCTGTAAATATAAGGAACTAAGGATATAAGGATACTTTATAAAGTACTGCATAGTAGCCCCTTTCCTCCCTAACGTACTAGAGAGGGAGGCGTACTTTAAAACCACCTATATCTAATACCTCCTCGGTAACAGAGGGTATAAGGACTTTCAGAAACTAGTGGAGGACATAAGCTTATATAGCCCCCCCCCTACAGAAACAGATACGTAAAATAGATTAATACATCCCCTTTTCCTTTATTATATTAAAACGTAGCGAACGCCCGATCTAAACTCAGCGGCTCCTACCGTCCTAGTACCCAGATGAGGACTTATGTAACTAGATTACTTAGTGGACGTTAATAATAAAACAAACAAAACAAACAAACAAACATATTGCCAATTTACACCCCAAAAAGGTAGCGAAGATGAAAGAAAGCCTACATGTGCTACACTGGTAGCGAGCTATGCGGATACCTAACTAACCTTCAACCAATGAAAAACAGGAGCGTGTTCGATAGCAATAGTTTGGCGGCCGGAATGGCCGCTGCGTTTTTGTAGGTTATTCCAACCCCCCTAATATAGCTGATTTGCACCACAAAGGTGGCGAAAAAAAAGAGAGAAGCATATACATGTAGAGCCGGCACATTAACAACAGAAAACGCAGGCCCATAGAAGGGAAGGGTTTCATAAGGTGGTGGCGTTTCTATTCAGGATGTGACTGCATAATGACGCGGTGTAGTATATAGATCACGGACATCAAAGGTAGCATTCCTTTTATACTATGCTTAGTCACTAGAGTATCTTATGTATGTATACAGAGGAGATACAGTATTTATAAAATCTCATTTAGATAGTGCAAGAATTATACTTTGGCTACGCGCGGAGATATTAGTATCTGGGCCTAAGCTTTTTAAGACACAATCATAGTTAACGTTACCCTCCCATCCTGTAATTGTTTATTTTATTTATTTTATTATTAACGTCCACTAAGTAATCTAGTTACATAAGTCTTTATTTAGGCACTAGGATAGTAGGAGCTGCTGAGTTTAGATTAGGCGTTCGCTACGTTTTAATGTAATAAAGGAAAAGGGGATGTGTTAATCTGTTTTACGTATCTATTTCTATATAGGGGGGGCCGTATAGGCTTATGTCCTCCACTAATTTCTGGAAGTCCTTATACCCTCTGTTACCAAGGAGGTATTAGATATAGGTAGTTCTAAAGCGCACCTCCCTCTCTAGTACGTTAGGGAGGAAAGGGGCTACTATACAGCACTTTATAAAGTATCCTTATATCCTTAGTTCCCCGCATTTATAAGTAGGCCTAGCGTTATATCTAAATCTCTTGTAGTATTTTATAAAGTCCCTGTGTCTAAACCTTTCGGCTAGCAGCCTATGTAAGATCAGGTATAGGAGATGTAGTTTAGGGAGTATAAAGGGGGCTTTATAAAGGCCCTATTTACTGGCCTTATAGGACTCTAGGTAGTTGCTCTCCTAGTCAGCGTCTTATATTTCCCTACGTTTCTTTTTTACCTACCTTTTAATAAAGGTAATAGTAGAGTAGTTTCTTAAGAGACAAGGGAGTTCTAAACCCTCCTTTACTAGTTAGTTAGCTTTTTTATTTCCTAGTACGTCTTTATGGCCTAGGACCTAGGCCACCCTTGTAGTTACCTATAGGAGTAGTTTCTGGGCGATTTAGCGTAGCCCTATGTAAGCTCCTTAGGATAAGGCAGGAGTTAGCCCTAGTATTCCATCTACCACCGCTAAGTTATCTAGGAAGAGCAGAATCTCTTGGATGTTTAGGTTTGCAAGGGCGTGCGTCCTGGCTAACTTTATAGCTTTAAAGGCGCCTACTGCCTTGGCGTTATAGACCTCCGTATTAGCAAGGGGGCTGTATATTATAGTTTTTTTAAAGTTATAGTATATAACGGCTCCCCAGCCTGTATTACCTTATTTATTCTATAAGCCGTCTAAGTAAGCAAGGAGGGTGGACCTGGGGAGGCCATTAAGTAGTTCTAGGTATTTTTCTACTGCCTCTGACTTTAGTAGGCCTCTAAAGTCCAGGCCTGCTTAGACTACTCCGTTATTCTTAGTAAAAAAGGAGGGTTAGACTATTTTCCTTACTAAGGCTGTAGTGTATTATAGTTAGGTAAGGGGAACCCTAGGCAGGAGTTTTTTATTAATATATTTACTAACCGGGTAGTTCCTGTCTAGGCCTGTAAAGCAAGCTATTATACGGAGTCTAGTCTATACTACTTATACTAACGCTAGGGGGACTCTTAATTCTCTGTGTATAATAAAGAGGTTAGTCGTCTTTTACACAGGGACAACTGCTCTAGCTACTGCTTTAAATAGGGGTTCTAGGATTATAGTTAGTCCCGCTAAGCCTGTTTTTACTTACCTATTTAGGTTTATCGCGCTCTGTCTGCTCTCGCCGGGCTAAAACGCCTCCGTCCTATATAGGGCTACAGGGGCGACGCAGGCCTTAGCTACTATAGCTACTACGTCTGGTGGGGATCCTTTTTGTATTTTATTTAGGGATTTTAGAAAGTTAGCTGCTTTAAGGGCTTTCCCCTTTATAATCCTAAGGTATTTTTTAAAGGAAAGCCGCAAGTTTAGGTATATCCCTAGCCAACAGACTAAGTCCTAGGGGGCTATAGTCTTTCCTTTAAAGTCCACTCCTTTATTATATATTTAGGTTCTGGTCCTGTAAAAGTATATAAGTTCAGCCTTATCTAGGTTAAAGGAGACTGCGTTCCTATTACCCTAGTTTAGGGTATTTTCTAATTCCTACTGGAGCTTCTAAGCGGTTTCTTTAGTATTAGCCCCTACTGCTATAATACTAATGTTATTTACGTACCTAAAGTAGGTGTTAGGGTTATTAAGCTTTAGGCTAGGGGAGAAATAAAATATAGAGATAATAGGGGAGATAGGGGACCCCTATAGGGCTCTGTATTCCAGCTCCGTCTTTAGGAGGGTAATCCTATAGCTGTTTTAGACAAAAGCCTTACGGTTACTTATAAAGGAGTTAACCTATTTTATAAAAAGGGGGGGCTACCCTTATTCCCTAAGTCTGTAAACCAGGCGGTTGCATATAATAATATTAAATACGCCGGAGATGTTAAATATAAGGAGGGAGACGATAAAACCCTAGGCTAGGGCAACTTTAGTATTATATAATAGGCAGGCGACTAGGTCTATTGCGGACCTTTTTAGGAGAGCCCCGAAATATTATTCTAATAGTATTTTATATTCTATTACCAGGAGGGAAACTCTTCTGGCTAAGAGTCTCTCGAGGCCTTTACCTATATAGGAAAGTAGGGAGATAGGTCTATAGCCTTTATACGTAGTATACGCTTTCTCCAGCTTCCTAGGTTTAAGGATAATAATAATCTTTGCGCTTCGGAAGGGGAGTAGGTAGTATCCTATTATTAAATATCTATGGAAAAGGTTAGTTACGTATTTACTAATAGTAGACTAGGCAAGCTATAGAAGGGTAACTAATATACTATCTACGCTAGGCGCAGTATTTCCTAACCCTATTGTAGCTTTCTTAGCCTCTGACTCTAATACTATTTAGTCCTAGTAGATATTCTTATTAATGGGAAAGTCCTCTTCCTATAGGTCTAAGATATCCTCCTCTATTATCTTACGCTTAAGAAGCTTATCTCTAAGGAAAGTCGCTCTTTCCATAAAGTCTAAAATACTTTTATCCCCGTTTATTAAAGGGGGCGGTTAAAAGCGGTCCGTCGCCTTACGCTACTTAGCCATTAACTAAATATTCCTAGTAGCACTAGCTTCCGCTATAATCTTATCCTAGTAAGCTCGCTTACTACAGTATATAAAGTCTTTAAGGGTCTTACGGGCTCCCTCTTAAGCAGGGGAGCCATCTACCGCTTTTTTATAAGCTTTATAAGCTGCTTTATACTTTTCCAACTACTATAGTATACTATAGCCGTTCTAGTATCTGGTTTTACCAGCCCCCTTTATAGCTTGTTTAAAGAGGTCCTGCAGGGCCTTGGCGCATTTATTAAGGTTGGTTTCTAATGGTGTAATTAGGTCAACCGTAGGGAGGGTCTAAGCAAAGGAGCGCATAAGTTAGCTAAAGTCTTCCCAGCATTCTAACGGGATGTATTTTTTCCCTGCCCCTGGGGTTATCCTAAGGGGCTCAGGCAGGTTTATAATCACTATATAGTAGTCTAACCCTATATTAAAGGAGTATTCGACCCTGGTTAACGCAGGGCAGTTTATAAAAACTAAGTTAATATATTTTCCCAAATATTAGGTAGGCGTATTTATTAAAGCTGGGAGGAGATTATACTTCTCCGCCTATTCCGCGATTTTATTACCTACTAGGTCTACACCCCTGCCTAGTTCCTAAAGTTAATATAAGACATTAAAGTTGCCTATAATAATTAAGTAAGGGGGGGGCGGGCCTTATTTAGTAAGGGTTTCTGTAGCTAAGTCTACTAAAGCCCTTCGGTAGACGTTAACGATAGTATAACCGTATACCTCTATCTAGTATATACATCTATCCTCTAGGCCTAGGGGAAAGAATTATTTACTAAGGAGGTTCGGAGAGATTTTAATAAATATAAGAACTAAGGGTCTAGCGTCCCTCTAACTATTTAGGGGGTTATATACTTAATATTTAGGGTAATTCTTAGTTTACCTTCTGTTTAATACCCTATTCTATTAAGCATAGGGTTCCTAGATTAGTATAATATTATAGCTACCTTCCTATACTAGCGATAGGGTAATATCCTAGTGTAAACTACTCTTCCTAACGTTAGCTTAAAAGATTTTAAGGCCAGTGTTTCTTCGGCGGCTGCAACAGGGCCTGTCGTTTATAAGCTTGCATTAAAAGGTCCGTTAGTTTTAGGGAAGGCGTTAAGTATATTTTTATTACCTTCGGCTTCTTCCTCTTCGTCGTCTAGGCCAGCTACGTAAACTACCGACCTAGCGGGGGAGGTTCCTTCATAAGGATCTTCCTCGTCTAAGTCAACTTTAATAATAACCTTTTTAGCTAGAGCTTAAGGGGGGAAGGGTAAAGCCAAGCTGGAGATTAGCAGCCTTATGCAGGGGCCCGTTTAAGTCTCTAGGTTAAATATTTTCTTAATATTAAGGGCTAGGGCGGGGGCGGGTTTAGGTTTAGGTAGGTTAGCTTTATTATATTCCTACTGGCCTAATTCCCGGATTACCTAAAGTTGGGCTTTAGTTGTCTATACTTTTTCCCTGTTCTTAACAACCGGTCTAGCGGGGTACTTTAGGGAGTCCGCTGTATAAGGGCCGTTACAGTTAGTACACTAAGGCGGGGATAAGCAGTTAGCTATAGTGTTATTATATCTAAAAGATAGTTTACCGTATTTATAGTACCTTTTAGTCCTGGTGTAATTCCGTGGGTTGTGGAATCTAAAGTACTGCAGGTACTAGGTGACCTAAGGGGGCTAGACCCGGATTTCCGCTAGGAGGGAGCTGCTAAAAAGCTTAAAGCCAGGTTTAATATCCTTATTAAAAGAGATAAAGTAGCTATATATATTAAGGGATTCTCCGAAGTTAGCTTTACAGCAGGAGATAGGTAGGCTCTTAGCCCCTGCCCTAGTGCGTACCTCCTCTGGGATTAGCGTATCTGTAGGGTAAGTCCTGCTTATATTAGTGTACGTCTTTAATATACTGCATATAAGAAAAACCTTCCATAAACGTACTTCTTTAATTTTTAGACCGTCGTTCTCTACCACCGGCTGGAGCATAATAATTTTGTTTTTAGTATTTTAATTCTTACTTCTAAGGGCAAAGCCTAATTAGACCTCTTGGAAGTAAGTAATATCCTTATTTATAAGCTTTAAGATCTTAATTAGTTCTTATCTAGCCCTAATAGCCAATAGCTTTCTTTATACGTAGTCTAGGGGAACTTAGATAAAGATATAGTTATTAAGGCTTTCCTTAGGTTTATTAATTTTATCTATGTTCTTTCCGTTAGTAGCAGGGGCCGGCCCTCTACTACTTATAAAGGAATACTTTAGGTTATTAATTCCCTTCTAAGGGTTTTTATTATAGGTGTTTTCTTATAATACAATCTATGCCTATGTAACCCTGGGGTCCTTCTGGCCTGCTTTTCCAGTAGGTGCAGGAGCTCCTGCTATAGTAAAGGTCCTAGCGGTATTTAATTTATCCTTCTTATTATAAGATATATTAGCTAATGTTATCTTAGTTAGTTAGGCAGCTTTTTTTTTACTACTTAATTTCTTAAGGTCTTTAGGCCTCCCCTTAGGGTTAATGTAGGAGGCGACGAAGTTTTTAAAAGCAGTATTTAAGTATAAGCGGACTTATTCTACTACCGCTAAGGAGAGCTAGGAGGTGTATTATACTAGGCAGGAGTTAATAACTATAGCTATATTTAATATTACGTCTTATCTAGCCCGCTGTTATATATTAATTTCGTTAATTTAGTTTATAATTTTATTCCTAGTAAGGGATTTCCCCTCTTTATTTAGGTCAGTGGCTTCCTTTATACTATTAAAAATAAAGGCAATAAGGCCTCTTAAGGCTATTTATACTACAGTCGCCGTCGCTGCTGCGCTCGGTCTTACTTTATTAAAACTAGGCGAGGGTATTTTATCCGCGCTAAGGGCTTCTCTAAAGCATCTTTTCTTCTTAGGGGTAAAGGGGAGGACCGTAACCTCTTCCGTTTTTGGGCCTAAGGGGGTTACCTCCTTCAGTAGTTAGAAAGCTGTCGCTGGTCCGGGGGCAACGGGTTTCATTCTGTTCTAGTTATCTAGAGGGTTTGCAGATGTTTCTATCTCTCTAGGGTCCCTAGATAGGACCGTAAATGAAAAAATCGTAGTCGTTTTATCTAATAGCTAATCACACGGGTGGGAGTTTTTGGTAGTTAGGCACCCAAAAGGTGGGGTACCTGTAGATGTAGGAGGGAAGCTTGTCCCATCCTGTAATATCCCCTAGTCATAATTAGCTAAATATGACGATGTAACTATTCGTACAGCCAAACTACTTAATCTTCTGCCACGTCCTTAAGCGCCGGCCCACGGAACCCAAGTCTAGACTCTTGCTTAGCTTCAGGATAAAATCGGCGCCCGGGCGTCGCAATACCGTTTTAATGGGTCACGTCTTTTCTTATTGGCCGGCGTCAACACGCGTACAACACATTACATGAAGCTTGTATGATATATTTCAGCTTGAATTTGCAAACATCCACTTATGCTACGGAGAAAAGGCTTGTCTGAGCGTGTATATCCTCTTCTGCTTGTTCCCATATCTGTCCCATGCCACGCCGATCGACTTCATTGGGGTTGTGATCTCCCACTACCACAGCTAGGTTGGAGACCAAAAATTCTGCCTGGATTATGAGAGGGGTTATACGGGCATCTGGCTCACCGGGGCGAGGCTGTCGACGCAGCAGAAGAACCTATGTTGCGATGCACCAGCCAGTATGTAAATGGTTTGTTAAGTAAGTTCCCTTGTACCATTATCCTAATAAATTACGGCCTTTGTATTATTTGCTTCGTACTAATTTAACTCTGAAAATGTTGACCTTGCCATTAGAATATTACCACTAACCTCCACTCTCCCCTGGTATCTACTGGAACGTTTATTCCCCCCGGTTATTTGGTCGGGTACCTTATAACTCCATGCCCGCTTGTTGGGTACCAGCTGGTTCAGCGGATGCCGAGGAGGTTGCATAAATTTTGCTTTTTTAAAGTTAATAATTATGATCCGGTTTGTTTCTGGGTTAAACAGTATGTTGGTTCCTTGGACATTATTGTGAACAACCCCTTGTAAATGTATTGATCGCAAAGTCTGTAATGTCTAATCCGCAAGCCTTTTCCCCGCGCTACTGGCAATCCGAGCATCGTCCAGCTTGTAACCCCCCATGAGAGAAATATTAAATGCACTATATAAACCCGGTGGTCATAATAGTAGATTTTGTTAATGGCTCGGAGGTCGATAGTGCCTAAGAATACAGGTATGCTGACTCCTTGGGCTGGTTTGAGGCGTTTGTAGACGGCGGCTTCGTGCCCCAGATCCTTGATAAATGCCCGTATAGTCCTTTTTGCGACGAAGGTATAACCGTAGGCGAGCAACGTGATTCGAAACAAGACCCTCGTGAGCCGCCATTACTAAGAGGCACTACTCCATCGTCCAGAGACACTTCCAGCTGTTTCCTCAAAAGTTGCAGCCACTTGCTATGGCTGACGGGATGGCGCACACTTAAGCCAGCAAAGCTAGAAGCCAGCCCTCGGCCGTGCAGGGTTACATTAGGGCAACCGTTATTAAGGTACCCCCCGCGAACCAGTCCGGTTAAACATTTCTGCGTATAATATTGGACGGCATGCTCCGTACGCCGACTTGATGGAGCATTTCGTGTCTGACGAGCTTGAATCCTCTGGCTGCGTCTTGCCTGTCCTCGACCCCTACTACCAGCTTGTCTTTCTGTAGGACTGGGTGTATCGGGTAGTTTTCCTTCTGATTTATTATCTGATGGTTCCGGAGAGTCCCTTTTTGTAGGTTGGTTGCTGAGCTGGCCTTCGCAGTCGATCTTCCGCCGATTGTGGCGAAAGGGATATGGCGATCTATCGAAGGTTGCGTACGTAGTTGGTTGATAAGGGGAGCTACTTCGGGGATGCTGTACGTTGGCTGGAATGGAGCGTAAGGTGCTTTCAAAGTCTTCTGCCTACGTTTTCAGTCCTTGAATTACTTGCCGGCGCGCTTTTTGACTGTGTTGCTGCCGTCGCCCGTGATGAGCTAGGGCTATAAGGGTAAAGGCTAGATACTGTCTGACAGCGGTGCAAGAGTGAAAATTATGAGGGTGTGCAGACACTTTAGGCCTGGGTTCGGCTAGGTGATAGTATGGCGTCTGCGGATTATCTTAGTTAATCTTGAGGAAGACTATAGCCTCTTCGGTTGTCAGGAGCCCGAAGACGAGGCCACCCTCGATTATATAGTGGTATGTTTGCGAGATGGCAGCGGCAGTTAGTCTTTTAGCATAGTATTGGAAACGGCCTTCTGGGTCTGCCGAGGTTGGAACTGTTTTGCAGTTGATAACTTCCTTGTAGACGTCCATTGGTTGTAAGCTAGCACGTAGATGTTGTGCTGTTAACTTGTGAGGTGCCTTATATTTGCAAACATAGATTATGCTATGCTTTTGCGACTGGCCGTCTTTAGATCGGTAGATACAAATGTGGTTGGGACGGAGTTGATTAGAAGGCTATTTCTGATCTGGCGTGCTCGGCGGTGATGAGCTCTTACGGTTAATGACCTCCTCTGATATATTGCTTATGGTACTGGGGTGATTTTCGAATATGATGCTGCCTCTAATTCTATAAACGGCTTGAATTTGCTCTACCTCTTTGAGCTGATGCAGAATGGATTTAACTGGATCTCTATACTGTTATGAAGGAAGTACTCTAGGTTTTTTTCGTTTGCGATCGGCTGCTGCGAAATCCTGTCTCTAAGGCCGGATAGGAAGTTCCGAGACTTAAAAAGCCGTATATTGGTGGGAAACGCGTTGTAAAGTATGCCAGAAGCGATCCTCTGTTGTTCTAGGAACTCTGGCTACGGCTGGAGACTTGTTGGATATAGTTTGTTCCTGAGGTTTGTGATATAGCCCTTTGATGTGAGCGACTTGTCGGTTTCGACTGCGAATTTAGAGAAGATAAGACTATGGTAAGCCGCGATGTATTCGTCCAGTGTTGTACGACCGGTCTGCTCCTCTGCAGATTCAGCGCGCTGTTGTTCCTCCAACCCTTGCCTGTCTGCCACCTCAGCACGTAGCTGTTCTCTCTCAGCGCGTTGCCGCTCACTCTCGGCACGTAGCTCAGCTTCCCGTAAAAGCTTCTCAAGCTTTTCGACCCTCGTTCTCTCGGCCATGGTGTGGAAGTGCAATCTGTTGATAGACTTAAAGCCGTTATCCGCGCTATCCTGGTGTTGTGATTGTTACTGTAGTGACCGAAGGCTTTGCACCAAGCCAAAGTGGGCTCGGGGTGGGTTAGTACCAGTGCTCGAAAGGGCAACAATTAGGCTTAAACAACTACCCGTTGGATCCACTTTTAGTAACTAACTGTGAGCCCGTAATTCACTAATACGCTTGGAAAAGCGAAACAGCTTTTCTAATAGGAATCACGTCTTTTTTACGCAACAGAGAAAACAGCGGAAGCAGCTTTAAAATAAAAAAGAAGAAAACTATAATAACCGCAAAATAATGTAGAATAACTTTTTTATATATCTCTTGCATTATTACAGGGGTTTTGGTAGCTGTAGAAGTGGATTTCTTTTGTTGTTGCTTTTGGTTGTTTTTTAGTACGTTTTTTGCAATTTTCGCGAATTTTTGCGACTGTGATGAAAATCCGATACAGCGCTACAGCGTATGCTTAATATTTAAATAAAAATGTGTTACGTCGCTAAATCAGTCGTTCGACATCGATTCCGTAGTTTTTATTCGTGTTCTATGCGTTGCGGGTGGTATTCGTGGCTTCGAGGCCTTGGATCCGGATACTGTAGACGTCCTGTTTTTTCAAAGTTTGAATTGCATAGAAAATAGCTCTTTGGCTGTATGTATCGCCTTTCCGGGCGTACTGGACCAAGTGGACGCTGTAATCTGCTGAATTACTCACTTTTCGTCCGTGCGCTTTGGAACGTTCCCCGCACTGCACACTTTTTGTCCATGCACGATTAAGGGGCTAATATGACTATACTTAATACGCATATAACGGTAAGTCCTCCGTTATATATCTATAGATTTAAAACCAAGAATTAAAGAATAAAGAATTTAAAACTAAGCTATTATTTATTCTTAATACTGTACTTCCCTAGTCTTCTATTTTAGTGATATGTCTAATACTGACTTGAATGCATTAGGCCTTTGCGTCGAGCCTGGTGCAGGTATTCTTATTTGCGGTTACGGTGAATGTAAGCATGCCCTCTCAGTGCGCGCTTCACATGTAACAACGTATCTGTGGGAAAAGCATAAGGTTCCCTTGGAGGCGAGAAAGAACCTTACGAAAAGTCTCAAGACACTCAATCTACAGAATTCAGACCGGGCGCCACCCCGCAATGACGGATCACCAGAACATCCTCTGCTATAAGTTTACGAAGGGTTCGCTTGTTCTGGTTGCAAATTTCGTTCCCTGAGCCTCCGACTTATAAAGTAATATTACTCTAATTCTTATTTAATATGTCTATTTACAGACTTAGGCAACCGGCTTAGCCCGGCAATACTGGACCATCAAGCGGAATGGGAGTTTGTTCCGGCCAATCGGAGGCCAAGTAATATAAGATTACCTTAAGTCTGTATAGCAGCGAGGCTACTACATTTTTACACTTGATGTTTGCCGAGCAGCGGCCCTGGCTAGAAAGGACGGTTGGGAGGACATGTATAGGGGCAGGGATTGTAAATTACTTTCTGCTTTTATAGAAATGCTTTTCTATCTGCTGCAGATACAACCTTTTACCCTTGCTTAAGGCGGTACAGTTAGCCTAGATTACGATATAGTAAGCCTAGCAGGCGATGAGAAGAAGATTGCGGCTTTCCTTAAGCTAGTGGATGTAATGATGGATTGGTGCGAAGAGACTGTAAAGAAGATAAGTTGTAATATCCTCTGCTGGCTAAAGAGTACTCGGCTGCTGTTAACTTATCTAAAGCCGTTTAGCTTAGTTTGCTATCTTTTGAGCACTAAGAAATATCGGCTTTTGTTTAAAAATACTTTACTTTTTGTTTTTCGGGTATACTGACTGAACTTAAGTATTTGGAAAAGGCTAATTGGCATCTGGCTACGGAAGAAGCTGGTTAATATATTAGACCTGATCTGGAACTATGTATCTTTGGATCTAGATGAAGCTAGAGTGGGTAATATAGAGAATTATGGTAATATAGGTGGGATGGATTATTAATGCCCTATGTTTAAGGAAGATGAGGGCGAAGCGACGACCTCGAAGTAGATATCGAAGACATTGAGGAGTCAGTGATGAAGATGTAGATGAAGATGTGGATGAAGATGAAGATGATGATACTGACTCTTACCATTCTGAGGATACTGGGAATGAGATAAAAGAGGTGGATAACGATAACAGCGATAATGAAGGGAGCGGAGATACTTATGGGACTTGTAAAAATGATATAAATGGCAGTAATGAGCTTTAAGAAGTTCTCCTTGGGCTAAGCTTAGCGTTATGTAACGAGCGCCTATTAGATAGCTAGTCCAGCTTTATACTTCTTATTTACTTTAGCGGCATCCTGGGATTTTCAACATTTTTAAAGACTTTCCTTCCAGCCCGATTTTATATACTTTATCTCTCTGGCCTTATCTACATCCAACGGCTTCTCTTCCTAGAGTAAGCTCTTCTACTAAGGGTATATTTGACTCTGGGAATCGATTGTCGACTACGTACTAGGCAACTAGAGCGGCTTTAAGTAATGCGTAAGAAGTATATAATTGCCGGCTTACAGTTAGTATTTGATGAATTCCTTAGCCTCTGCAGTTATGGGTGCGTTATGGCCCGCTTAGATACACCGGCATTTCTCTTACGCTGGAGCGAAGATGGCCGGACAGTCTATTACGGTGACTCCTTCTAGCTGTTTATGGGCTAATTTCGACTTCTCCCTGACTATTTCATTGAGTAAGCTAGTCGCCTCTGTGATGAGCTTATGTTTGGATTGGAATCCGTTGTCGACCTCTCTAATAGAGCAAATATGCCAATTTCGAACCCAAGAGACCCTGCTAATAGAACCAAGAGACGAGTTTATTCTTGGTACGACCAAGGCCGAGAGTGGAACGATATTGTACAGGCAGTTGGGAGTGGTAATATCCTACTATTGCTTTACAGCAAGCTCATTCGGCACTTGGCATCAACAGCCAGTGAAACAAAATACCACGACCTGGACATAAACCTGGCGGAATTTGTTATGAAAATGCTTCGAGATACTCCCGTCAACGAATTTTCTTAAAAATGAGTTGGGTTTTGAAATCATCCTCTTCCATTGCCCCCCTGACAAGCTCTTCCGTATTGAAGAGCTGTCCGACGACGATATACGAAACGTATCCGTCTATTCAAAGCAGTCATTTGATCTCCTAGCATAATAGAGGGCAATTAATTAGTTATGGATCCTGCAGCGAGTCACTTCCGCAGGTTAATAGATTAGTCACATATTAGATCTAAAATGACGAGTCTCGTTATCGTTTGGTATAATCCAAGACAGGAGGTGAGAGATATTATCAAGCTGCTAGAGAGTCATGATGGGATCTGAGAGATTCATTAAGAAATGTGGAACAAGCGTAGAGCCCAATTCACCTCCATGCAGTACGGCTTCTAGCCCTCAAAGCTTCTTATCATTAACTCTGCTGTGTCTATGGTTTTACAGTTCTTTCCCTACTATACTTGAGGTTTTAGCGGTTTTTGTGTTCGGAAGTAGGTCGAACTTGTAATTTGTCTCCTAGAATGTCATCATACTAGAATGTCTTCATCGGAGCTAGTTGAGCTCTTATTGATTGGAAATCAGATGTCAAAGTCTAACACTGACTGGGGAGAAAAGATCGAAGGATATCGAATCATCAAAATTCCGCGGTGTCCAAGGACATTTTTGGGTTATGGGGAACAGAGTTGATTCTTTCGTATCCGACGAAGTACACAACATTTTTCATTTGATGGTATGAAATTGATACAGTACTTATCATTACATGAAACCAACACTAACATACCGGTACCCAATCAAATTGGCGTAAACAGCATAGAGTTACGTCTTAGAAAATCATCTAGCACTCCAGATTCCCCTACTTCAGTGACCTCCAGACGTCCCGTGAGCGAAGCGCTGCGGCATGTGTCATAATGACGCACCGTGAGATTGGGAGCGCTGCAGCATGTGTCATAATGACGCACCGTGAGATTAGGAGCGCCTCCCCTCACTTCTGAAGCGCCATCGATTTTGTCTCGCAGAAATAGCTTAAAAGCACTCTATGCTAGTTTCTCCCAAAATGGTCGAGTTATCGTTGATTCAAGAACAATTCAGCAATCTAGTAAATACAAAGCGAACTAAGAACTTTTCAGAATGACCCGAGGGAACAAAAGACAAACTAAGGTTATTTACAAAGGTCAGACTCAAGACTTTGTCATAATGGTTGAAGATACTGCTGCTGTGCAGAGCTGGAGAAGGGATAATTCTATTCCACTAGCGCAGGTGCTCGATGGATGGAAGATATTTACTTCTCATCAGTAAGTGCTCCGTCCTGATATAACCTCTACGTCCTTGCATGAGCGATGCAGTGTATATCAACTAGAAAGAGTCAATTATTAACCGAAATTGCAATCGGCCCAGACATGGAGCTGGAGGAATTCATAATGAAGCTAGCAGGGCCACAATTGAGAACGAGTTCGGCACATCCGATGATAACGAAGCTATCTTAAAAATACTGGACCAGGGCGAAATACAGGAGAATATTGTTTGTATAATCTCTCTTTACCTCCTGCCGAATTTTAGCGCTTACCTAGATTTTTCTCCTATAATGAACTTACTGTCCTAAGATCTTGCTTTCCATATGGCTAACTACTGGAGATAATGCAGAATACTGAGCGACAGGGCATCAGGAGTGAGTCACAAGGCACACGGGGGATGTACTAAGGGTATAAGCCAAGGAATCTCGGGCAAGATAAATACACATTGTCATATACCCAGCTAGGTAGAAATCCTGAATGACAGTTACTTAGCTTCCAGAAACTCTTATGTCTATTCTTTACTACCTGACATCTTAACCTTTCCTATCATATTATATAATAGATCCCCTGAAAGCTAGACTAAGATAACTATGATCTTTGTTATCTACCAATAATATTAATTAGCTAAATTTATTTGTACTATTGTATATGCGAACTGCGGAATAGTAGCCAAGACGCCCGTTAGGCGGTAGAAGCAAAAGAAAGCTAGTAAGGGCGGGAAATAACTTAGCTAGGGAGGCGGTCCCTAGCTATTTAATGAATATTTTAGTAATTATAAGAGTATTAGGATAAATAATAATAACGACCGTTATATAAATAAATACAGTTTACTACTTAATATATAACGTCTTAACCTAATACTTATAAAGTATAGGGTAAGTTCCTAAGGTAATAAGCTAAGGTTAATTAGTTTATATTAGTAAAAAAGATAAAAAGTAGCTTTAAGTAAGTATAATTATAAAGTAAATAAAATATAATAAAAATTTAGTTTATATTTAATCTTAATATTTTATTAATAATTATATAATAAATTAGTCTATATTAAACAGTATAAGGTAGCTTCTTAAGGTAATAAACTAGTTATAGTTTATATTAATAAAGTAGGTAGGGTATAGTAGGTAATTTTATTATATAGCTAGTAGGTTAAATATAATAATTAATCTTATTACTATATTAATAATTAGCTATTTAAGCTATTTAAAGAGTATAATAAGTAAATTTTATATATTTAGTTAATATTATTAAGTTAACTAAGGTTAATAATTAATTTATATTAACTTAAACTACAGGTTACTAAAGGTTAATAAATATATTATAACCCAACTCTTAAGGTTGTAACAATAGGCCAATAAGTTAGCTGGAACTAGATTAACTATAGACTAATGTATAATGAACCAGGTCCTATAGATTAGTATAGGTTAGCTATTTCTAAAGGATAAACCTTAGAGTAGTTCTATAGTTTATGTTAGCAGAGTAGTTAGGTTAGTAAATAGGTAATTTTATTACTAGCTATAAAGTAAAATATCTAAATATTTAATTTAATTACTATATATAATAATAACTAGCTATTTAAGTATTTTAATAAGTAATATAAAGTAAACTTATATACTTAGTTAATTAAGCTAGATTATTATTAAGTAGTAATAATTTTATTATAAATTATTTTAGAGTTTTAATAATCTATTTTTAATTAGTTAATTAGTTTAACGTTTATGTAAGACCAGCTACCCTATAGGCCTATTATTATAACTATAAGAATTAAGTTATAATATAATATCCCCTTTTTATTAATTTTATTCTTAAGACTTAACTAAGAGGCTGTTGGTAGTTAAGGCTAAACTACTAGCTAATATAAGTAGGTTAGTATACTACTATTAGCTAAAATAAAAGTAGAGCAGGTAGCTAGGGTAGTAAACTACTACTTCCTAAACTACTAGTTCTTATAAAAAATTATATTTTTAGTTTAGTATAAATATAGGGTTAGCGGAAATAGTCTAGGAAAAAAATAAAATATAATTTTATTTATCTAACCTATATACCTATTTATCTACTAATTTTATTTACTTATTTTATAAAAAAGGGGGGGGGGGGGGGTTAGTTTAGCTTAACTAGCTATTTTATTTATTAATTTAATTAATAATCTATTTATATATATATTTTTATTTATTTATTCTTATCTTCCTTTATAACTATAATACTTTAATTAACTACTTACTAAACTTATATAAAAGGGTACTTTACTAAGGCTTTTTATTAGTTTTCTATAAAAGGTTTAGTAAATTAGTAACCTAACCCCTATATACTATATATATTAACTATTTTTCTTAACCCTATATATATATATATATAAATATATATACTTATTTATTTATTATTTACTTTTATTTTATTATTTTACCTTTAATTATAGCTATAATATTATAATTTAATACCTAGCTTAAACTTAAGGTAGTTAAAGATAAAAAGAGTATATAGTAAAAATTAATTATAAAGCTAAAGATTACTAAAATAAAAAAAGCTATAGAAAATAATATTAACTAGCTAATATATTATAAAAAATATTAGTATTTAATATATTAGGTTTATAAATATACTTTACTTAGCCTTAAGAACTACCTTAAATATTAATATAAAAATATTAAAAGAAAAGCTTAGGAAGTTATTATAGTAAGGTACTTTTAGCTAAATTTATAATAGCTACTAAATAATAATTTTTATTATAGTTTATTAAACCTAAGATTACTTATTAAAAGTATATTAATACTTAATAAATAAATATATAATTATTATAGGCTTTTTACCTTAAGTTAAAAATAACTTAAGGTATATTATAATAAAGTATATAATATATAAGGTAAAGTACTAAAAAGGCTTATTATAAAAATATAAATACTTTTTATAAAGCTTAAGTAGGTTATTTATTATTTTTATATTATAGCCTTTAGTACTACTGCTAATAAAAATATAGGTATATATAAAGGTATAAAGTAATAGCTTAAGATAAAAAAGAAAAGTAAAGTAAAATACTCTTACTTAAAGAAAAGAGGATAAAATAACCTAAAGTACTTAAATAAAATAATTACTAAAATTAAAAAAATAGTAAGTATATAATTAAGGCTAATAAAAAAAAATATAAAAGGTTTTTATTAATAAAGTTATAAAATATAAAATTACTAATTAGCTAAAGTATTTTAACTAAACTATTTATTTTATAAGCTAAAATCTAAGTAAAATTTACCTTTATAACTATATACTTAGCTTAAAAAATAATTAATTATAAAAGTTAATTACTACTATTAACTAAATATTTTTTAACTATTATATAACTAGTTTTAAAAGTATATTTTTAATAGTAAAGTTACTTTTTACTAGCTTTTACTTAAAAAATATCTATAGCTAACTATTTAAGCTACTATAGGAAAAAATAAATATAAATTAATATTTAATATATTAAAAGTAGTTTTTATACTATTATATAAATATTTTTTTATTAAAATTAAATATATTATTAAAGAAATATAGCTTTAGCTTTATTAATAACTAAAGAAAAGGCTTTAAAATATTATAAAAGTACTTATAAAATAGTAATTAGTAAAAAAAAAACTTAGAAAAAAAGCTATTATAAGTATTAGCTAGTTTTTAAATATAATATTTAAATAAAGACCCTTTTATTAGCCTACTTTAGTATTTTATTATTATCCTAGGTATTAATAGTAAATCTAAATAGCTTAAGTTAGCCTACCTTTTTATATATATATTAGTAAGTATAGTATATATTAGTAAGGTATTACTAATAAAGTATATTATTTTAACTACTTAGTAACCTAGTATAAAAGACTTTAAAAAGTATTTTACCTAAGTTTAGGATACTTAGTTATATAAGGTAATATATTTACCTATAGGTTATATACTTAGCTTACTTTTTTATAGTTATAAAATTATAAAGGAAATAAATAATTAGCTAATAGTATTTTAAAGTAAGTAAAGTAATTTAATATACTTTATAAAAAAGCTAATTTTTATAAATATTATTTAAGCTATAGTATATAAAATAATTATAAATATAAAAACTTTACTTTAAATAAAGTTAATATTTAAAAAAAAAAAAAAGTAATAAAAATAATATTTATTTTATAATATTACTAACTAATATTAAAGATAATTTAACGTAAATATAGCGGGGCTAGTCTTTTATATATATTAATAGTAGCTTAGCTAAGAAAAAAAGTAAAATATTAAAGGATTTTATTTATAAAAAGTAAAAGTAAAACTTTTTTAAAAAAAAATAACTGCTAGAATTAAAAAGGTAGTTAAGGATATTTAAAAAGCGTAAACTAATTTAAGAAGCTATTTATACTATTAATATATATAAAAGGAGGTACTTTAGCATAAGGTAATAAGCTTAAAGGCCTACATTAGGTAATATTATAATTTAATTTAATAAGGATATAAAGGAGAAGTACCTAGAATAATTATTAACTAAATAGCTAATAGTAAGAAAAAGTAATAGAACTTAATACTTTTATAATTAAAATAACTTATATAAGCGCTTCTAATACTTTAAGAAGTAATAAATTATAATACTCTTTATAAAATAATTAAATATATAAAATTTAATTCTTTATACTTTTTAAATAACTTAAATAAATAGTTATTAATAAAGTATTAAAATTAAATATAAACTAAATTTTTATTATATTTTACTTACTTTATAATTATACTTACTTAAAGCTACTTTTTATTTTCTTTATTAATATAAATTAATTAACTTTAGCTTATTACCTTAGGAATTTACTTTATATTATTTAAATATTAAGTTAAGATATTATATATTAATAACTTTTATTTAAAAAAATATTAAGCTTTTTTAAGTAATAAACTATTATAGC